ATAAGAGACTTCTTTAAAAAACATTACAAGTCTTACTGATCCCAAACTTTTGAGCGGTAGTGTACATATTTACAAAATATTTATGTGTGTGTGTGTGTGTATATACACTATAATACATGATATAAGGTATAATTACCTTATTGAACAGTGTATATATCTTGATATATGAATATGGTAATTTAATATGACACTCGGTACAATGGTATTGCCATTGATGTCATAGTACCATCACAATAGTTTTATGTCAGGGAAATCACTTTATTATCTTTACATGCAATTTGAGCATAAGTCTTTGACATTTTGGTCTGCATCTGCTGTTTTGCAGACCACATGGATGGCCGGGAGCTGCTGCCACTTTCTCCTCGGGCTTTGAACCAGGATCAAAACCCTCAGGTCAGCCCCTTGACCCCAGAGCAGGGCTTTGGTGGAGAGAAGGGCCGGCGCAGCCCAGCTGATTACAGGGCCCTGTGGAAGAAAGCCATCCACCAACAGATTTTGCTCATCCGCATGGAGAAAGAGAATCAGCGCCTGGAGGGTTAGTGTTTCTACTCGTATTCCCCTCTCTTATAATTTAACCTTCCTTTCATTTTGGATTTGCATTTAATTTGGGATGGCTATATTCCCATTTTTCTGAAGGCATACAATAGGTTTGTGTTAGAAACGGATCCAAATTTAAGTTGATACTCACTGATAATCTTGCTGTGTTGTTTCGATAACAAAAGACATGAAATCCAATGACATTTGGTGTCTTGGACATCAAACCTGCCAAAACGCATATAGACATAGCTATTTTGAGTATGTAAATAATACTAAAATCACACTGGAGATTCTTCAAAGCATCTACTTTTGTGCTGCATAAAAGAAAGTCAGTCATGTTTGGAATGACATGAGGGTGGGTAAATAATTGCCAAAATTTCATTTTTTAGGTGAACTATCCCTTTAAATAGTAGCTCAAACATGGCACTAACGCCAGTGTCATGGGTTTGATTCCCAGGGAATGCATATATTAAGTTATAAAATGATATAAAATTTTAATCTTGAATCAATCTTATTGTATAAACGTGTCTGTCAATTGCGTAAAAACCTAGAGCAGTAATTCAGTGTATATGGGACATTATGGAGTCACAGAAGAGGGAGTGTTTCCTCCCGTCACTCTGATTAGACTGTTGTTTTTGCCCTGGCCTTATTTTTAGAGGGGCAAGTGCCACTGCCTCTATTTTACATTCTGGGGCAAAGTTAATTATAGTTTGGAATGTCTGGATGATGTTCACGTTCTTTAAGAGTGCACTTTCAGTTCTGTTACCTCTAGGCTACATAATTAGCCTTAGTCTTTCAAAAAATAGTTAGTCTTTCAAAAAATATCAGTCATTCAGTCTCTTTAACACATTGTGTTATTGTGTATTACTTAAACTTTGCTTTGGAGGAGCAAAGCTTTGTGAAATATTGCCCTCTGTTGGCCAAACTGCATCACACATGAGACTCAAGTCACTTTTTCTACCTTTTTTTCCTTTTTGGTGTTTTCTGTCTGTTTTTGTGTACTCTTGGATGGGCCAAACTGAATAAACATGTCTGAGTAGAAGGTAAGAATATACGGCAATGGCATTGACGTCTCGCCAGAATGGGCTGCACTTCAAGCAGTTTTTGGCATGATATCATTGTTTGGCTACAATGTAGTATACAAACCAGCATGAGGCAGATAGCTACATGTTCTCAAGTGCAGGTAATCAATAACAGTTGTCTTGTAGGATATAATTTTCTCCTTTTGAGTCCATTAGTTGCAGAGTTGCATCAATTCTGGAGTCTAACAGAGTGTCTTTCTCTTCTCTTCTGTGCAAAGATGCTCATGTATGCTCTTAACTTGGATAGTGAAAAATGTGTTGTGATGCTTTGTTAAGGTTATTTTAAAAGGCTGTGCCATATCTTAATCCACTCTGAACCTTGTCTAAAGTTGCTATGGAAACTTATGGTGCATGTAACCCAGAATATTCCTCTATCAGAAGCGTGCTACAGTTTATTTGCAGTGATGCATGCTTGCCTGTGAGGCTTCCAGTGTACATGCATTGCAATAAAGGCACTTTTTATTTGTTTTTACAAACAGAAACTAACAAAATTATTGCATGCATGACATTGAATACTTGTTAGTGGTTCTCAACAGATTTTGCTTGTGGACCCAGATTTTACACAATACCAAAACTGCTAATAAATAAAACATTCTCAAAATAATGTGATGAATGACATATTTTTAATATGAATTTATTTAGGAACATATTTTGAGAATATATATTTTAATATGTTTTTAAAATAATGTGATGAATGTCATTTTATTATTAATCGTATTAATGAATTTTAATTAAAAGATATGAATGAATTTTAATTACAATTTAAATTGCATTTAGCATTTGTTTTTCCCTTCCGTCTACATTTTGGGTCACATCTCATGATGCCCTTTCATTTTGACACTCAGAATGCTTTTAGATCCAAAGTAATACATAATAACAATACGTTAATATGTCAATTGTTCTGTTGAATGCTAAACCTGACTATCAGTTTTCTCACCTTGCAGCCAGCCGTGATGAATTGCACATTCGGAAAATGAAGCTGGACTACCAGGAAGTGTGTCAGTGCTCAAAAGAGGTGCAGGCCCTGTGGGACAGGAAGTTGAGCAGTCCCTGCCGCACTAAAGTACAATGGGACAAAGAAGAGATCCACTGTGCTGTCTGTCAAGGTATAAGCTGTTTAATCTTTATACTTCCATCAATAAAACCCTAAGATTTTGGTCTACATCAGCTTTTGTTTCTAACTACCGTTCAAAAATTTGGGGTTAGTAAGATTTTGAAAGAAGTCTCTTATGCTCCCCAAAGCAAACAGTAATAATGTGAATTACTATTACAATTTAAAATAGCCGTTTTCTATTTTAATATATTTAAAAAAATATAATTTATTCTTGTGTTGGCAGCTGAATTTTAATAAGTCATTACTCTACTCTTCAGTGTCACATGATGCTTCAGAAATCATTTTAATAATGCTGATTTGGTGCTCAAAAAACACTTATTATTATTATATATTGTTGAAAACAGTTGTTTGGCTTAATGTTTTTGTGGAAAGAATAAATTTGAAGGATACTTTGATGAATGGATAGTTCAAAAGAACAGCATTTATTTGTAATACAAAATTTTTGTAATGTTGTAAAAATCTTTCTTTTAAAAATCTGTTTTTAGCAATTTAATGTGTATTAAATTTGCTATTTAAACATAGTAATATCTTTAAAAGAAACTTTTTGACCCCAAACGTTTCAATAGTGTGAACATATTTATAGAAATACATACTTTTACATGTGAAATAGTTTTGCTATTGTATATTCTTAATAACCCTTACAGTTTGCTCACGTTGTTTGTTTGCATGCCTGTGCTCTGTAGGTGTCCCCAAAAGTCGGCGAGGTGAAGTGTGGCTCCTGCTCTCCCAGCAGTATCGTTTGCGTCACCGTCTGCCGCAGAGGCAGCAGCCCCCTGAAACACCTTATCAGGATCTCCTCAAACAGCTCACAGCACAGCAACACGCCATCCTGGTCGACCTTGGTCTGTATCTAACCAAAGCACTTATGGTTTATGCTGCTAATTCATTTTTGACCCAGTACATTACTGAAGTGATGTCCCCCATCCTTTCCAGGCCGGACATTCCCAACACACCAGTATTTCAGCACTCAGCTGGGAGCTGGACAGCTGTCTCTGTACAATCTTCTAAAGGCCTACTCCCTGCTGGACACGGAGGTGGGCTACTGCCAGGGAATCAGTTTTGTGGCCGGTTTGCTGCTGTTGCATATGAGCGAGGAACAGGCTTTCGACACTCTCAAGTTCCTCATGTACGACCTAGGCATTCGCCGGCAGTACCGTCCCGACATGATCTCTCTGCAGGTGCGCTGTGTGTGCAAGAGTATCAGTTTTCACTAGTTCATGTTTTTCTTTCAGAACCGGTATGTTTGCTTGTTTAAATTATGCCTATTGTCAAATGTAGCAGGACTGGTTTTTGTAACAATTAATGGAATGAGCGTGTATCTCAATTAGTTGAACTGAGTGTTAGATAAGTACTTTCTTATTTCATTAAAAACTAGATTATTAACGTGACTGAATAAATGAAATGAATGGTACTTTTGACACATTAGTTTAATATTATGTACATTGCAGTAAACCTAGTGGCTTAAAAAGCTTGGATTGGCATATTTGGCTAGCTAAATACTACTCGGTTTTTCTTGGTAACACCTCTTTTATCAGACATTTTCATTTGTAATATAAATAAATAACAAATATGGCAAAGAATAGGTTATTTTTAAAGTGTCATTGGTAACTGAAACATTAGGCGTCAGTGTAACAACTAGCCACTGTTGAAGTTGCCAGCGAAATGTTGACACTTTTTTTAAAAATTGTGTACATTTTAGTCATCATAGTGGCTAAAAAAGCTTGGATCACCATGTTTAGATCACATGACCAGCCAAATACTACTCATAATGCATCTTTTATGGGACACTTTAATTTATAAAGTTAATAATAAATATGTCCGTTAACAGGGTAACAGTGTCCTTGTTAACTAAAATGTTTTTGCTCAATGCTACATCCACACCACTAGGTGTCAGTCTAACTTTCAAAGCAGCTGTTTTATAGCCTGGCGAAACAAATGAAAATTTAAGAAAAAAAAAATATATATTTTTTTTAAATGTTGTGCTGTACTTTTAGTGAATGTAAATTCCACATAACATTTTTGTTGTAAGGACAAGAACAGCGAGTATTTTTAATACACTTGATTTAAACACACATTTGGTCAAGCAGTATTCAAACCGCCGTCGCCACCTTTGTACACTGTTTCCTCCTCAGCTGTTAGTAGTTATTCATCATCAGATGTGCCAATGTTTAATCCCATGAGAGAAACACTGTCTCAGCCAGTCGCATTTGAGCCTGTTCAAAGTTCACTCCTCTAAGTGTGAGGACTTTTTCTTCTTTCTCTGTCTGTAGATCCAGATGTACCAGCTGTCGCGACTGTTGCACGACTATCACCGTAACCTGTACACTCACCTGGAGGAGCACGAGATCTGTCCCAGCCTGTACGCCGCGCCCTGGTTTCTCACTCTCTTCGCCTCTCAGTTCCAGCTTGGCTTTGTTGCCCGTATATTTGGTATATTTCACTTCCTTTCTAATTAACTTACGCAGACCTGAATGAATGTATGCGAAGGGGTTCGGGTGAACCTGAGGATAGTGGTGAAATGATCTTGTGTGTTAAAATGTATGTATTTCACGCATAAGTCAAGTATTGTAGCCAATGCATAGCCTTTGACCCATGACATGACTTATGCATGTATGTGTGCTGTGTGCCAGACCTCCTGTTTGTCCAAGGCACGGAGGTGATTTTTAAGGTGGCCCTGTGTTTGCTAAGCAGCCACGAGGGAGAGATACTGGAGTGTGACGGCTTTGAAAGTATTGTAGACTACCTTAAATCCACCATCCCCACCCTCACTCACAGCCAGATGGAAGAGACAATCACCAAGGTACATTTAAAATGGAATAAACTTTCCTGATGCATGTCTGGGGGGTTTTTGTTTAAAGATTTATTTCATTTTTTTCATTATCAAGATATAATTTTACTATAAAATGTATGTGAATGTATAATGAAAAGTGTACGTTTTTGATCCCGTCAATCTTTGTGTTTTTAATTTTTAATTTTAATTTAAATTTTTTTGGGCTTCGCTAGTTTTAAATATTTGGTCTACTGTTCATATATTGTGAGATATACTGTCTAGATATTCAAATATTCCATGCAATCTATCAGTTAACATAAGTATATAAGTAATATCAGCCATAGTGTTATTTAGTATTATTTATAAACTATTATAATATTTCTGCATATTTTAGCATTTTTATATTTTTAATTTTCATTTTAGTAATGTTTTTCGTTTCAGTTGTAGTACTTCAGCTTATATACATTTACATATGAACATTTCAATTTTTCATTTACATAAATTTACAGTTTCGGTTGTTCATCTAATATTTATATTAGATGTATTTTTCAGGTTTATTTTAGTTAGAAACAATTTTCAATAGTTTTAGTTTTAGTTATCATTAGCAACACTGACAGCTATGATTTTTAATATCTGTTCCTTGACTTAAATTAAATTGAGATGTAGACTGGATGCTATTCTGTAAAGTAAGCTTATGGTAAAAAGAGATTGTGTGACAACAGTGTAGCATACTACTGTTTGAAACCTTTTTTGTTGCATATACTGAATACTGTTTAACATACTATTTTTAATAGTAGGCAGAACACAGTGTTGCATGTGAAAAATGTAGTACACTAGAATGCACTCTATTTAACCACTAGGTGGTGCAGCTTGCTTTTCAAAAATAAAAAAGACTGTTTTGTGATGAACTAGAACAAGATGACAAAAATACAATTCGGCAACACTTTAAATTAGGGGACACATATTCACAATTAATTAACAGTTTTCCCTAAATAAACTCCTAAATTGCTGCTTATTGATGGTATGTAAGGTAGTCGTTTCGGTATTGGGTAGGGTTAAGGGATCTAGAATATGCTCATGCAGAATAAGGCATTAATATGTGCTAATAAACCGCAAATATGCTTGTAAAATGCATGCTAATAAGCAACTAGTTAATAGAGAATAGTGTTTCCAAATGTAAACGGTTTCTTACCGAAAATTCATTGATTAGAATTTTTCTTTTCGTTTGTTTGTTTATATTTAGATATACTTTGTTATGGTATCAATATGAAATGTCGTTTGCAGGCAACTGAGATGGATATCTCCAAGCAGCTGCATGCGTATGAAGTGGAGTACCACGTCCTGCAGGATGAGCTGTCAGACGCTCCTCCACCATCAGAGGACTCTGATAGGCTTGATAAACTGGAGAAAGCCAATGCCCAGCTCAAGAAACAGAACATGGACTTACTAGAGAAACTGCAGGTAGATATATAACAATCAAAAATAGCACAAGTAGCACAGTACAAAAGCCAAACAGCCTGAAACCTAAGATCTTTACAGATACACTTCTCAGTTTACTACCGAAGAATATTAAAATGGTATTTTGGTTCAGTGTCTTACATTTCAAATTAAAGTAATGGAAATTCAATTGATAATAGCTTTTTGATTTATCATCCGCTAGTGTTTATGGATGTGGGAGAATGAATTATCCTTGAAACTCCATTAGTCTAAACATGTAACGTCACAACATGCTCATCTTGTTGCTAAAAACAAGCTGTTCCTAGAAACATGATATAAAGGAGAGTGAAAAGATATTTGGCTCCCTTAGCAACTTTTCCAGATTAACGTAATAGTATTTGGATGCAAAACTGACAATTATTAATACTATTAGTTGAGCCATTGGCACAGCTTATTATATATATATATATATATTTATATATTTGTTTTTGTATTAAAAATCTATTTCATATACGTTACATTATTATTATTTTTTTTATATTCCTCAAAGAAAACATTATGGTTAAGCAGCTCAACATTGATAATAATAAGAAATGTTTCTTGAGCATCAAATCAGCATATTAGAATGATTTCTGAAGGATCATGTGACACTGAAGACTGGAGTAATGATGCTGAAAATTCAGCTTTGGCATCACAGGAATATATTACATTTTAAAATATATTCAAATAGAAAACCATAATTTGAAATTGTAATAATATTTCTAAATATTACTGTTTTTACTGTTTTTTTAATCAAATAAATGCAGTCTTGGTAAGACTTATTCAAATATTTTACTAACCCCAAACTACCTCAACAGTAGTGTATATGACAAAAATTTGGGCATAGTTTCTTCACAAGATTCCTTCATCAATTCTTTTGCTTGGCTTTATTAACAGGCGGCTCGTTTGAAGATTCAGACATTGGAGGGTAGCATGGAGAGCTTCCTGTCACGCGAGAGCAAGATGAAGCACCTGATCCGTTCTCTGGAACAGGAGAAAGCTTCCAACCAAAAGACCATTGAGCGCATGCGTAGCAGTTTACCTTCGGATGCCATGGCTGAAGTGGAGATGACCCAACTCAAGTCCAGCACCAACGGGAAAGCCAAAGAAACTGCCTGCAAAAAGCCTTGAATCACCATCCTACTGATTGATGCTTCATTATAGGTACATCAGTAGAGAGTTAGTGTGTTTCTCCTCTTTTGTGTTCCCATCATGCTTCACCTTTGATGGCATAATTGAGAGATGGGAACGTTTGAAGCCTTGCAGCCTCACAGACAAAACTTGAAACAATACAAAAGTGTCTTTCCAAAGAGTACGAGGCGTGTTGCATTAATGTCCACGTGACTTTATGCTCACTGTGAAGGTTTTTTTTGACCTGGCACTCCAAACCAGGTGTTTGGAGGAAACCAAATATTTACCATGTCAACCTTTTGCTTAAAGTGCTTCACCTAAAGTGCAGGCAGGAAGTGAAACCATCTGCTGCTGGATGATTTCCTCTGCAACTTGCAAACACTCCTGCTGTCCAGACTTCCCAGTTTGAGCTTATGGACTTCAAGCGAATCACTGTCTGAAGACATGAAGAGTAACTTGTCTTCAAAACATCATCTTCGATATTGCACAGTATTCTGTGTGCATTGAAGAAGTGTGCCTGAAAAACGTTGTGTTGCATACTATGCCGTAAAAATGTGTGTGCGCAATCTTTCAAATGCAGTGTATAATGGTCGCCTGGGCATGAAAAAACAAATCCCACAATCCTTTGGGGATTTTACCATTGTTTGGGTTTCTTTTCAAATGATCACTTGTTTTTTGTGTCGCACCAACTGTACTTGACACCTGCACACATATTTTTGTAGTGTATGAGTGCAGGGGTCTTAGCTTGTTCGAAATATTCCTCTGTGCCGTGGAGAGCGGCTCACAAATATGATATGATGAGAATCTGTCAGAATTTATATAGATATCAAATGCTTTATCAAATGCTAAAGCATTATATTTCATCCATTTTTGTCAGAAATTTGTATTACAGGTTTTATTTGACATTAGTTAATTTTGGCCTAGGCATATGAGCCTAATGCAACAAAACCGAGAGATGAGACATTGGTTTAAAGTACCTGTTCAGCTTGATGGTGGCCAAATATGATTGTACATATGTCATAAGAGAAATGACACTGTATTGGTCACCCATCTAACCACATGAATGTAAATTTAAAGCAGGAATATCTACTTGAACACTCATTTTTGTTTGTCTGTTTTCAAATTGTCTGTCTTGACTAAACCAATCAGAACTTGCCTCGTTCTGACAGTTTAATAAATGAATAACAATTGTAGTAAGATGATAAAACTCTAATGGAAGTGTTGGTAAATGTAATCAAGAGTAATCTTCTGCTGTTCTATGTTTGTGTGAACATAATATGGCAAAAAGTGACATTAAGAAGTGTTAGTGCTGGGCTGGTGGGGGTTACCAGTGGCGTGAATAATTTGTCTGATAAATTTTCTTGTTTTTTGGATCATTTTCTTTATCTTTTTTTCAGAAATACATTTCTGTGACATTGCAAATCGAAAGACAAAAAGACATAGAGCAAATGGTCTGATGGTGCGTTTGATACATCAGTCATTCTTTATCATACTTTGTTCAGTGTGCCAAAACTTGTTGATCATTACGTCACATTTTCATTGTCACGTGCCGCTGTTACTTCTCAATAACTCCAAGTTATTGGAGTTGGACTACATTTATTTTAGATGCACTTTTGTTTGAAAGTCACCATTGAAAGTGTGTGTGTGCAGTGTGCTGACAATGTCTTGATTTTTTTCTTTTGATTTGTCAGTCCTCCATAATCTATTAAAATCAACTTTTTGTACCTCAATTTCTGTTTATTATTAATAGTTGTTATTCTTGCCAAGGTTAGCATTCTGTAAATGAAGGAAGGACACAAGCCAAGAGGCTTTTGACTGGGGCCAGTAAGCAAACGCCTAGCAACCACCCAGAACACTTAGCAACCACATTGCAATGTGCAATCATAGCAACACAATGGCAAACACAATGCACATTTCTGTAGTTTTTTATGCAACTAAACTCAATATAAACTTGAATAATTATGTATGGTGATCAAATTCTGCCATAGTTATTTCTAGTGTTTTACGTGAAGGTTTATTTGCAATATTATGGGATGCATGGACATCTGCCAAAAACATTGCAAAATGTCAGTTATAGACCATCATACACAGTTTACACCATCTAACAGCTGAGAAAAATGATAAAGTGACATTTTAAGTGGGATTTAAATGTTGTTTTTATTTTTTACATTTTTCAAAGTCTGTTTGCATTTCCAGGTTTACATTAGATATTGTTTCCCAGATGTGTTCAACATTTGAATTAATAGGAAGTTCTATGCCAGTGCATCTTGCATTACTGTTTGAGGCTCAAATGTACAATGACAAGAGCACCAGAATCCCTGTAAGACCTAAAAATGATGACATACTTGAGCCATTTTGCATTATTTTCTTCACTGTCCGGTAAACAGAGCCTCCTACAAACTGTGCTTGAATTTGAAATGAAGCCCTATGGTTGTTCCCTTTACCGGCGGCTGCTAAACAGCAGGTCTGAGACTCCAGTCATGGAGAGCTGACTGTGCTTCTCCTTTATCTCAAGGCCAGTATTGGTTTGTAACACCACACCAATTTTGTGACGCAAATTTCATGCTTTTATAATGTTGCCATTGCAAACATGTAATACAGCAAGATAGCCTGCGGATGTTTTTGGTTTAGTGAAGTCAACAGGACCTCACATTTCATTGATTGCTCTCTGAGGTGATGTTTGAAAATCAGTGGTGAATTAAAAGGTTGTCGTTATGTGCCCTGTTGTTATTAATACATATTCAGAGGAGAAATAAGCAAGTTTTGCCTGTTAGTAGGGTATGGGAGAGCAGGAATAATTGTAATGCTCAATAATGTAATAAATACTCTTAGTTGCTGTATCAGGTACAGTTTATGCACAATTCAGCCCTCAATTTCCTCCTAAAAGAATGAACAGTTTTATTTACATTAAACATGGATATTTTTAAAAATGAATTTGAGTGAGTCATGCACACTAAAAAAACCTTTTGATTTTAGGGTCATGTAATTTAATTTACATTAAATCATTTAAAATCAAGTCACACATTTTTTTGAACACTTATTTCTCCTTCAGAATTTGCTTGTTTTTTTTGGCCCTGTTTTAATAGTGATATAAAAACAAACAAACATTAAAATACAGATTTAAAACTATTTTTGTATTTTAAGTATATAATTCAACAATATGAACAATGACAGTGATATTCTTCAAACTGGATCGTCTTTGGAGAGTTTAAATGATGTGTTTTCCTTATTAACTTGTCTTGCTGTGCATACATATAGTAATAATCTGAAGATATATTTGTTTTGTTTTGACAAACATTATTATGCACACATAAAATGTATTTATATTATAGAGCTTTTTCATTTACTGTTACATTTATCACATACAGTACCACTGTTACTAATATATATAAAAATATAAAATCTTTGTGATATAAAAAAATATAAAATCTAAGCCCTTGTGTGTTTCTAGTTTAGTTTAATCTGATATGTTGAACAAACAGGGCTATTTATTAAAATAATAATTCATTATTACAAGTTTTACAAGTATTTATAAAGGGACAGTGCAAAAACATATGGTATCTCAGGCACCTATGAAAAACAAAAACAAAAACAAAAAAACACGAATTTAAAAATCTACACATAATTAGTTTTTTAGACATATTATACATGTTTAAATTAGAAAGGACTGCTTATATGTCAAACCTATGGATTTCAGAGAAAATGTCAAAGGTTTTGCCTAAAAAGTGTTAGGCTGACCTGTGAAAGTGTAATGAAAGTCTGGGTTGATTGTGTTCGGCCTGATAAATGTCTATGCTTATGCAAAAGAGCGTCAGTCCTTTCACAACCATGCACATTACTCAGAAGAATTGCAATTTTGGCACAGAAAGTGGTGATATGTAGTCTTAAAAGATAGATGGGAAGTTAAGCCCACTTTTCCTGCAGGGAGTAGACAATGAGTCATTGGACCAGATGTAGGACCAGCTGAGAGATGGAGACAGCGCATTACCCACCCTTCGTTTCGATAAACCTCATTTCGATGGCGAGAGGATGCAAAAATACCACACTTGGAGCATTGTCACAGCGCTTATCTCTCTCTGTGAACAAAAGGCAGCATTCCGTATATGTTCCCTGGTGAGGGCGTTTCCTGTGGAGGGGAAATGCCTGGACGGATCGTGGAGGTCAGTAGGGGATTGGCGCACAGAGCACTTCCTCTGCACAACCTTATCAGAGCTTTTTGTTTAATACCACATCCATCCTCCCACTCATAGAAATACACAATAAAGGGCCTTATGTCAAAGAGTGACAGAGTGATCAAAAATACTAGCCATCAAACTACTTTGTTTGAGGCATATTTTCACCCCTCTTGTGAGAACAGATATCCAGATTGAACAAAAACAGAAGATATTTTGAAGAACTGTTTTTATCCATATAATTAAAAAATCAGTGGGATCCACAACAACTCTGGACCCCACTGACTTCCATTAGACAAAAGCTGGAGCTGACAAGCAGTGTTCAGAGGTTAGACTTCATAGGGGGAGTCGGTGTTCTCCAGCCATACAAGGTGAATCTTATTGCATGGTTTGTGATGAAGTAGACAAGGGTTTGGGGCAAAAGTCAAAAACAGTAGGAAAAAAAAAAGTTACTTTGAAAAGCAACTATTATTTTGCATGATCTTTTCAATTTTTTGGGAAATTAAAATGCTGGGATATTCTTGTAAGCTTCCACACACATTGTACACTACTATACACTAATATTAACAGCATCACTTAATTCCAACCCAAATGAGTATTTTGATCAGTTTGGTTTAGAAGGTAACTTCAGTTGAGATAGCAATGGCAAGCTATCATTATTGCTCATATGGTATTAAGGGTTTATGCTACAGACACCTCAGATTGTGCAGATAATGCAAGGATACTGTAAGTGTGCTGTTGCTTTAAGTAATAAGATTTTCATGAAGATTAAAATGCTTGTAAAAACCCATCTACTAGAGATTTTTGGTGGCTATACTGACTCGGACCAATAAGCAACTACTTAGAAACGTGTTAAACTCTACCCTTAAAACCCTAGCAACTACACAGCAACATGATAAAAACTACCCAGAACACCCTAGCAACTGCATAGCAACATACTAAAAAACATCCAGAACCTTCAATTGCACAGCCATATACTAAATACCACTGAGAACCCCCTAGCAACCACATAGCAACATACTAAAAATCACTTATTGGCCAGTTGCATAAAATGCTTCTTACAAGTTTTAGACTGGTCAGACTGAGCCCTTTATTTAGCAAATGCACAGCAACATAGTAAAAACCACTGAGAACAACCTAGCGCCCACGTAGCAACGGCATAGCAAACACCCACAACCCCTCTGTGACTTTTGAACAGATTTTCTTCTTTAAAATATAATAATATCTAATTTTTTTTAATCTTCTATTTTTGTTGTTCAAACTCACTGGGTTTTGAACTTTCTCTTTTGGCAATATCCTGCATTCTAAAATCAGATTTTATTTTCAAATGCCGAGCCTGTATATTGCTTTATTGTGGTTATTTATTAGCTTGTCTTATTTGTAGATGTACACTGTACAGGAATAATGATTTCAGCATTCACAGTAATTTTTCAAATATGAGGTACATTTAATAATAGATGCAATATCCATTTGAAGACAAACATTGTCTCATAATTGTTTAATGAGTATGTGAACATAGCAATTTCAATTCTATCTATAGATTAATCTTTTTATGGCTTCTCACACTTGAAATAATTAATCCTGGGTCTTTCTAAACCCAGGTAAATGGAATCCTGTTTCACATTTCATACTGCTCATAATTTACCCAGGGTTAACATTTAATCCTTGTATTCATAAAGTGACCTTTCACACATTGTACACTCCTAAGCCCGGGGTTAACGTTCTTATCTGCATATCTGCATTGACAGTGTCACTGATTGGATGAATTAACGCAGCACTTGACCTTTTTATATCTAGCATTGCACATCCTCATATTACATGGACTTTTTGGACTACAAGGGTAAGAATTAAATAACCTTTTCTTCAATCTAGCTGATGCGTTTTCCACCACCTTTTGACAATTTCCCCTTAAGTTAAGGGATGTGTCATGTAGCCAAGTATGGTAACCCATACTTGGAATTTGTGCTCTGCATTTATCCCATCCAAGTGCACACACACAGCACTGAGTAGTGAGCACACACACACACACACACACCATAAACACACACCTGGAACAGTGGGCAGCCATTTTTGCTGTGGTGACCAGGGCACCTCAGTTGTGGATATTGTAGGTGTAAGAAAGCACTATTCATTCACTACCCCCACCTACATTTCCTGCCGGCACTGAGACTCGAACCCTCAAATTTTCAGGTTACAAGTCTGACTCTCTAACCATTAGGCCACAACTGGGGTTTACAATGACGATAACTTGTGGTTAAGCGCAGTGTGAAAAGCTCTTTTGTGTCTATGTTAAAATTTAAAAAAATAATGTATTAAAAGTCATGCATAAACATTAACCAAGCAATCAAAATGATGTGCATCTTAAATTTGGTATGAAATGAAAATCAACCCTATTTTGTAAATGCATGTTATTAGTCTTATTGTCAGTAATCACACAATATTCCAGTGAAATTATCAGACTTCTCCAGTCATTTTGTCTGCCTAAACTCCACCTCAACAAAATCGACTGCAAGCTCGCATTAATTTTTGAATACAACGCAAAATCCAACCAACAATGATGGATACCCTTACGAAAATTAACCATGGTTTTACTACAAATAAAATAAAAAACATGGTTG